GGTGTCTTTATCTTGTATACTATACTTAGCTTTAGTATTCTCTACTAGTTAGAACTAGTCCCTAATTACCTTAGGGTCCTTATATAGAGCTCTCTTATAGTTGTACTTGCGATTAAATTTAACTTTAAGCTCTAGCTGACGTTTGACAAAGTTGGCAGCCTAGTTCTTGCCAACGTGGGGCTAGTGGTGCTCAGCAAGCAGAGAATTGGCCATATCCTCCACATTAGCAAGCTGGGGCGAGTATCCTCGCTCGTCTAGCTTTAATACATGCTAGACAATTACCTCCTCTTTAGTACTAGTCATCCTTATCATGTTGGGCTTGCAATCGCGTTAAGAGAGCTTTCTATTGCGTCGTTGTTGTAGGGTGCTTTCTGACACCTTATAGATAGCTGCAGCGCGTGGCACAGTAAGATTCGCGTCTTGTTGGATAGCCTGGAGAGCAAGCTGTATGTCTGCTTCATTTGACAGCCTCTTCATGTTATTTTGTTGAGGTATAATAGGCAGAGTGAAGTTTGGTGTGGTCTTGGCAAAACCCGGTCACTCGCTTGTGCCGGTCACTCGCTTGTGGAGTACGTTATATGCTTTACTATTACCTCCTCCTCTTGCTTAGTAAGCTTCTTTGAGTTGGGCTGGCAATCGCGTCTAGCAGGTTTGCCAGCGCGTTGGCGGTGGAGGGTAGCGCGAGAGACTTTAAACATTACTGCAGCGCGCCTTTCAGTCTGAATTTGATTCGCATTAAGAGCTAAGATTGCAAGGTGTATATCAGTCTCACAAGAAGCGTGTTGGGCTATGTTTGGTGGAGCCATAGTCGATTTATAGTTGTAGGGTATAGAAATTTGGTGGGGTGGCTCACTCGCTTCGATGGCTCACTCGCTTAGTATTTACGTTAGTTAGTTTCTTGTATTTACCTAAGAGAGGTAGTAAGACTCTTAATTATTAGATTTAAATGGTTCTTAATAATTGTTGTGATAAATTAATTAATTAATTGTCCTCTAACTAGTCTAATCTATAAACAGGTGGCTTTTATCCCCTGCCCTTGTGCGACTAGCAGCGCAGTCCATTCCATGCAGTTCTATTCCAGCCTTGCCAGTGTTACGGCCAGCCTTGCTCATGTCTGACGACTCTTAACCCGCCTTTCTGTTAATTATCAGCTAAGGCATTGTCTTAGTAGTCCTGAATCGCTTAGCTACCGTGTCCGCCGGGCTCGTCCACGGCTCAGGTTCGTGCACGAAATTCAGACATCTCAAACTCACAAAAAAGATTGTTTGAGTTAATAACAAGCATTAATTATAACGTAAACCATCACCGAGCCGGCCATATCACCGAGCCGGCCACTTTTCCTTGGCACAACCAACTTTCTCCTCATCAAACAATGCCTCAACAACACAACGCAATTGCTATTCAAGAAGAAGGTAGAGTTAATCTTGCCCTTCAAGCCTATACGTTTGGCCAATTTAAGACCCTCTGGCGCGCTGCAGCAGCTTTTAACGTCAAACACCAGAGGCTCTCTAACTGACTCCACAGAATCACTCCACGCGCTCAAACCCAACCAAATTGCCAGAAGCTTACTACCACCGAAGAGCAGACGATTATCCAATATATACTTGACCTTGATTCGCGAGGATTTGCGCCCCGGCTGTGCGAGGTGGCAGATATAGCTGATAAACTGCTGGCTGTACGCGGTGGCAAGCCTGTTGGCAAGTGCTGGCCTGAGCGCTTTGTAACGCGTTCAGATGAGCTTAAAATGGCCTTCAATCGAGCCAAGGATAGGCAGAGGATACTCTAGGAAGACCCAGAGATAATTGGCGCGTGGTTCACGCTGGTAGAGGAGACCAAAGCCAAGTATGGTGTCCATGACGATGACATCCACAACTTTGATGAGACAGGCTTC